TTTTCCTGCTTAGAAAGTCGTCTAATACGAAGGAAAATACGGTAATTATCTCTAAAAAGAGGAGAAGTTGTACTGATTATTATTAATTTGCATTCTGGGAAGCTGTTGAATGATCATGCTGGTGATATATCATTCATATTACTCAAACGGTTCATTCTCTTTCTTCACCCCATGGGCCGATGATGGACTAGAATGACCATGGATTGTACTCAATCAATATAAGCAACTTTCTGTGTTTCCATAATGTTTCTATGCTATCTGTCAATTCTTTGCTGGATGATGATACTATATTCCAGGGGTAGACAACCTTTCACCTTTAAGGGCCAAGGGACTTCAGCTCCCAGAATCCCAGGAGCTATTGGCCAACATGGGACTGTTGGCCAACATGGCTGAGGCTTCTGGGAGCTGAAGTCCCTCGGCCCTTAAAGGGGAAAGGTTGCCTACCCCTGCTATATTCTTTATATTGAATCATCAGTCTGAATAGTACTTTAAATTATGTAAGAGCAAACAAAGACCAGTCTCTGCCTCAAAGAGCTTACAAAACAAGGAGGGAAGAGTGACAAAGATAACAAAGGATGAATGTGAGTAAAAGGAATTTTTTTCACAGTAAGAGAGGGTTCTAAAGAAGAGTTAGACATAAATGTGAAATGGCACCAGACAGGCTTTCTACAAGGGAGTACCAGATGAAGTGGGTAGGAAGAGGGAATTTTTGTTTCTTTTTGTTAACTGCCTTTGTGTCGGTCTCGACCCATGGTGACCCTATGGATGAGACATCTCTGGGCCTCCCTGTCCTCTACTGCTCTGTCCAGCTCCTGCAAACTCATGTTTGTGTTCTCTTTAAAATCCATCCATCTAGCACAGGGATAGGCAACCTTTCCCCTTTAAGGGCCGAGGGAGTTCAGCTCCCAGAATTCCAAGGGCTATTGGCCAACATGGGACTATTGGCCAACATGGCTGAGGCTTCTGGGAGCTGAAGTCCCTCGGCCCTTAAAGGGGAATGGTTCCCTACCCCTGATCTAGCATGTGGTCTTCCTCTCTTTCTACTTCCCTCCACCTTTCCTAACATTATTGTCTTTTCCACCAATTCATGCTTTCTCATGATGTGTTCAAAGTACAACAGTCTGAGTCTTGTCATCTTGGCTTCTAGGGATATCTCTGGCTTGATCTGTTCTAGGACCCATTTGCTTGTCCTTTTGGTTGTCCATGGAATCCTCAGCACTCTTCTCCAGCAACACATCTCAAATGCGTTGATTTTCCTCCTATCTTCTTTCTTTACTATCCAGTTGTCACATCCATACATGGTAATAGGGAATATGATGGCTTGTATGATTC